GGTCTCTTGCACCGCACAGCATCACGTAGGTGACAGAGGACATCCCTGTAGTACTCTTTGGTGATTGTTTGACCCTGTGGTGCATACTCGTGGTGTATCACACCGTGGGAGTCAAAGAAAACAGTCAGCATCACTTTGACGTTGCTGCGCACTTGGCGGGCCTTCTTTGGTCTTAGTGACGTGGAATGCTTCCACTGTGACGACTGGGATTTAGTTTGCGGGTCGTATCCATACACCCAAGACTCGTCACCAGTGATTATGGTGTTCATGAAGTCGGGGTCACTGTTTGTGGAGTCCAGCATGTCCTGTGAGACTTCAACACGAAGTTCCTTTTGCTCCGCCGTAAGCAGCTTCGGCACGAATTTCGCCGCCACTCTCTTCATAGCCAAATCTTCGGTCATAATGGAATGTGCCGAAAAAGTGCTGATGCCCACCTTTTCCGCAATTTCTCGGATAGTCACACGACGGTCCCACATCACCATTGCATTCACTTTGGCAATGACCTGGTCATTTCGGCATGTTGATGGCCGACTGGAGCGTGGCTCACTCTCCACCGTTGTGCGGCCGTCTTTAAACCAGTTGTACCACTCCTTAATCTGTGTGATGCCCATAGCATCGTCACCGAAAGCCGTCTGAATCTTCCGAATGGTTTCCACCTGGCTGTCGCCCAGTTTCTAGCAAAATTTGATGCAGTAGCGCTGCTCCAGTCGTTCCGTCATTTTCCTTGCAATGAAAAACTGATGAGAGCACTACACACTACCTCACTCAATGGCTGCTTGCCAAAAACTGATGCAATCAACAAGCGGGAAAAAATTCACGCATGTGCACGAAGGTTCAAGGTCGGCTCATGCAAGCGCGCTTGATTCAAATCCATCAGGTTATCACAAAAAAAATAAGGTCGGATACTTTTCTCACAGGCCTCGTAACTGTTGAACAATGGTATGCTGTTATGGTATCTTTACTTGTGATATTTTGTGCTTTGTAAGGTGTGCATTACTACACTGTGTACATGACTATTTTCGTTGCCACCTCCATGTGTTATTACACATATATGCACATTTATATTTATTATATTTTCTTTAAATATAATGAAGTAATGCATACTTTTCTTGTAGGAAATGCAAAATGTGGTATTTATTTAAAATTGTTTCTTTGTGGTAACAAATGTTAAAGTTTTATCATTCTGACTTGTTTTTTTTGCAGCACAAATGCTCAGTAACTGATTAGATCATTGCTATTTTATGCTAGAGTGATGCAAAATGCTTGTGTATGCTCTTTTTATGTTTTTTAGATCAGTTTTAGGTGAAAGTGATATTTTGATAAAGAGCATTTATAGAAGTGTAGTTTATTTATAAATTGCAGTTCAGCTCTTGGATTGAAGGATCCATAGATACTTTTTCAAGTATAACAGTGATGATTATTCTTCTGATTGTCATGACCATTGGGTTTTTATTCTTGGCTGTACAGGTATGCTTTCTTTTGTCCATGTGAAATTTAACAAACTATACATTAAACAACTAGAAACTCCTGAAAACTTACCACTGTACTTTCTAGGACTTTCAGAGCTTTTATTTGTTTCCCTTCATGTTTTGAATTTTTTTTTTTAAGTATTTAAATTTTGTTATCTTTACAGTAATTAAAATATTGTCCTGCTCAGCTAATTTGCTCTTATTTTTTTAATACAACCCATCTTCTAATCTGTTGATATGTTGCAGCTTAATGATATTATACTGATTGTTCCCTCTGTCATTCAAGTCTCTGTTTAAACCAAATGTACAGGAAGGTATATTGTAATAATGTAATCAAGTAAATGTATAGAGATGCATGTTAATGTAAGTTTCAACAAAATTATTCATAATTATCCAATCAGTATCTAATATTTCATTTAAATTATTTATTGAAGTTTAATTATAACTCAAAAGCTAGATATCACTTGAGACCCTGAAATCTTTTTTGATATTTACGATGAGAGGGGGGGGTGTTATCTTTCAATAAGATGTCATAAAGTTCCTAAATGAGGGAATGTCTGGTTTTATTAGTTAGGTTATTGTAGTCACCTATGTAAATTTTTTGTCACAGAGTAATAAGAAAATTAAAATTTTAAATCTCATCATATTTGCAAGCTTCTTCTACGTTACTGATTACCGAAAAGAAAAAAGAAATATATAATTTTTAAGACCTTATGTTGAACAGAACATTATTTCTGCTACCATTAAAGCTACCAAATATTAATATATCACCATTCATGAGTTTTTAACATATTATTTGTATTGTTTTACTGTTTTCATCTTGCATTTTTCCTTTATCTAATGTTGTTCAACATTTTTGCCATAAGGTATTAAACAAAGCAGAAATTGTAGTAATTTACTATTAACATTTAACAAAAAGATATTTACCAAATTATTAAAAAAATTATACACTTCAGTCTAAAAGATTAAACCAAAGTTGAACAGAAATCAGTAAGGTTATAAAACTATTGTATTTCAGCATTTATTGATATATTTTAAGGCTATGATTATTTTGTTATTATTTATATCAATCAAGTAAGTTTTGAGGGGCAGTCTTTGTAAGTTTATCTTTCACAACATTAAAATGATGTTACAGTATGTCTTTAGAAATAAAATAGGGAATGTATGACCATAAAGGACCTCTGTAAGAGTTTTATACATGTAATGTTCTTGGATGTTCTAATGTAGACAAGCTTTTAATTATGCACAACTTTTTTACTTATTTCTTGTGTAAACATATAATTTGTAGTGAAAATTATCAATAGGTGTATGGGGAGACTGTGCAACTAGTAAGAGTAACCAAAGAAATAGTGAACAAAACTATTCTCAGTAAGCCAATAGTTCAACAGTATTTGCCACAAAACATGGAAGCTGTTCATGAAAAACTGAATGTTGTAGTAGATCATGCTTATGACTATGGAAAAAAAGGGATTAATAGAGTGGTATGTATCATGAAGCCTTGAAAAACCTTATGTATTTATGATATTTTTATAAACTTACAACTTCTGTAATTAAAAAAATATTTTTCTCTTGACAAAATTCAAATCTGTTTTCAAACCAGCTGCTCTTATATTTCTATAAATTTATCGTTTGATTTGTTGACTAAAGACTCATATGAAAAACTGATTATTTATCCTAAAAACCATGAAAATCTAGTGAAATAGAAAGTTAAATTATTTAATCATTTCATTTATATAAAGAAATGAAAAAGCAAAAAAAAAAATTAAAACTGTATTTTTCATTCATTAGAAAAGTGTTTGTGTGTTCTAAGTCATAAACTGAAATTTATGAATCACTGAAAACCTTTTCTTGTTGAGTTGCTGTTATGTATCAACTTACCCATAATTCTATTTTCTTTCAAGCTCCGTCTGACTTCTTGCACACGTATCAAGAAATCTTGTATCATCTCTGCCTACGTGCCATATTTTAGACTTTTTTGTTGACAGTAATGCTTTTAACTTCACTATTAATTCTAAACTTGACATAAATTCTGATGCTAATGCTTTTACAAACATTGGGAGTTCTATTACTTCTTTGGAAGCCTCTCTCATCTATTATGCCTGTAACATGCAAAGAGATCCTGTGGCTGCATTGTCAGCATTCGTTGATCAATATATTTGTGCCATTAATGATGAATAGTCTGCTGGTGTCTCAAACAAGTTTACCAATCATGTGGATGCTCAAATTGTAGAATGCTCACCATTTACTCATGATTTTGAACAAGATCAATCTTTTGCTCATGCCTGCTTGCCTTCAGTGTTTGCAGAGCAGGATTTATCTGCTAGCCTTAATATTGAAGAAGCTTCTGCTGGTTTGATTTCTCTTTACTCTCAGGTTCTTTCTTAAATCTTGAAACAATTTCTGTTATGCACGAGGGTGCTAATGTCATGCTAAACAATTCAAATATTGAATATATATTTGTTTCACTTTCTCCTGATATTCAAGTTGATGATTATACTTTTGGAAACCAGCAAAATGTTAATAATTTTCACATTCCTTGCGGTTTTTACATGGGTGATATTTTAGGGAGGGTCACCTTCTACTACTTCTCCTAATATTAGTTCTCTGGTTCTTGATCTTCAGTTTAGATATTGAGGGGGGGGATATTTAATGAGTTCCTCTACTTTAACCCATCATCAATTTTGTGCACTATCAGTTGTCTTGTTTCAAGACTTTATTTTTTGCATAATTAATATTTTTTAATTGTTCTTATTCTTCTGATTCTTTTAGTCAAAATAAAATTTCTAACTTATACTCTTCATTAACTGCAAGTCTCACTTACATTCCTTTGACACTTTAGCCTGTCATGCTATATTTCAAGGTTTCAGCAATTTAACTGATCTCAAAAGAGCTGCTTTTCTACATTGTTTTGTTTTTGCAGGAAACTATTTTCCCATTTAAGAGAAGCAGGCCAACAGGAGCTGAGTAGGGTTTTAGTATCTCATTTGACTTCCCTTTTTGAAACAACCAGCAAGTACTATTTGTCCTTGTACCTTCTTTTCTTTGTTCTTTTAGAGTGACCAAATGTAAAAGCAGATGAGATGAGTCTTATTTACACGAGTGGATCCAAATGATTCCCATATCTGGACTGTTGGGTAGTCTTCTTGGATGACTTGTGGGATCCTTGACCTTGAGATCCTTTGGTTTGATAGATCCTTCACTTTGGTCTTTAATTTTCACCCTCCTCCAACTGTTCAACATCTGTGTTTTCCTCTTTTTTTCCAAACAGGAAGTCTCAAATCTTCTTGATAATGCAGCAGTCAGAATCGTTCCTAACACTTCTACGGGTTTTTATATCTGTTTCTTTGTTGTTCTGTAGAAAAGAGGAGACTAAGACCTATCATAGACCTCTCTCAACTCAGTCTTTAGCTGGAGAAGCTTCATTTAAAGATGAAAAACATATGATTGGTTTAGAAGTTTTTTCAATGTGGCTAATAGTTGATGAAGGTGGATATATATGATGTGTATCTTCATATTCTTATTCATTTGTTATCACATTATATTTTCTTATTTTTCTATATTGGAGTGGTTTATATCAGTTTATTGCTTTTTTTTTTTTTCAGTTTGACTTTAGCTTCATACAATTTTTGCCAAGTAGTCAAAGATCTTCATGATCTTCTTCTTTATTCTCAACACTTACTCAGTCTTTTACACAATTTCATTTAATCACCCAGTTGGCTACATCTTTTTGGTGGATCATCCAGAATTCCAAATCCTATTTAGTACCAACATATCATTTGTAACATCTAGGATTTTGCATCAACATGGTTCAATGAAATCTCCAGATGTCTCTTATGGCCTTACTAACTTTGGAGTCTTGTGTTCATACACTTCTGTCTTCCATCTTCCATACCTACTGCAGAAGACATCCTTTGTGTTTTTGGCTTCATTTCACAAAGTTGTTCCCATGTGACATTTCCAATGGAACCCTACTTCTCACTGGAGTCTAACCATTGATCCAATGTCTTGCGGTAAGTGTTTTAGTGAAACATATAGTTTATGACAGCATGAACTCCTTTACATCCTGATCCAACAGACCTTCATCTTTTCACAGATGTTTCACTCACAGGTTGGGTGCTATGTTGGGAAATCAGAGATTTTGAGTTGATTTGAATGAATGTTTGAAACAAGTTCTGAAGACATTGTGTTATACAACTAATAAGTGTCTTTTGGTATCAAGTGTATTTTTGGAAAACTGCATACGCACACATACACAACAGGAAAATATTATAGGATGATAAAAAACAAACAAACTTACAATAGAGTTACTATTTACATTCACTCTATGTGTAAAATAATTCACAATAAAGTTTAAATCCACACTAATGGAACAATACCAAATTTAAATGGAAACTAGTTTTGACATCTGAAGGTCACTTTAAGTTGAACCATATCCTGATGGCATATGCCATTCAAGGAAAAGAAACTTACGTTATAAAATAAGCAGTGTAGGTGTTTCTCTCACAAATGTTGGACTAAAGAGAACATGAAAAGTCGAAACTAGTTGTCATTTGAATTTGGTATTGTTCCATTAATGTGGATTTAAGCTTTAACACATTTTTCTTCTACTGTTTAGCAAATATTCTTTTGAATCTAACACTGTATTGTAGCATGCTTTGTTTTGAATCCATTTTAATAGTTAAAGATCACATACTAAGAGAATATGCTTGTATATTCATGATTAATTAATTTTTAAGGGAAACTATTATTAAAAAAAAATTAAATTGTAGTGTTGAATGTCTTGGCTGAATATATATAATTTTATGTAATCTCGTTCATATGTTTTCTTAACTGACATGGAATTAATCTTCTTTGTAAGAATCTATCTATAATGTGCATTCAATCTTGACAGAAAGGGAAGTTTGTCATGTTTGACTTTATTGCAGTTGTGTGTCAACCAAACATATTTGAATGCTTTAAAAGAGTTTGTGAGAACTGCGTATGAAAATAAACTATAAATAAATATTTCAAATTTGTATAGAAGTGGTGATACTTAATGTTAGACAGTCATTATACAAACATATTTACAGAAAAAATCCTGCATACTAGACTGTAAAAGAATAGTTTGAAAGATATTATAAAAAGACTAGAAATGCCATGTACAATACTTTTGAGTTAAATTATGCTATAAATAAACAAGCAATCACATTAACAGCTAAATTTTTCACATTTTAGGAAGTAAAATATAAGCAAATCTTCAATATGTTACTTGTACAATGTTTTTGACACATTATTTTTCTGGTATTCTATCAATTTATTTACAAAATATCTTTCCACATACAAAACAATTTTACCCTTAGGTTTTAACAGTTGAATTGCTAGATAGCTTTAAAACTAGCATGGCAAATAACAGTAATATCTATTGATGGTGGACAACCCTAAAAAAAGAAAAGCTTATTGGTGAAACTTAATTTAGTTATAGAATGCAAATTATTGTTTATTTGTTTGTTTTCAGTGCAAAGCTCTGCCTTGGGCTATCTGCAGTATGTTCACATAAAGAATCAAACTCTAGATTTTAGTGCTGTAAGTTTGTAAACTTGCTGCTTGTCACTGGGAAGCTTGGACATTATTAAAAACTTCTTAACAAAATGTGTAAAAATATAGATAATTATGAGCATAATGAAATGATTATATCATCCTTTTGGTGAAAGATCATATTACTTTAACCTTAGTTTATGGCAGATGTAACCTTGAAATTCTGTTAAGTTTTTCTGTTCCATTTTGTATCTTATGACCAATGGGGTATGGAAGCATACCATATGATTGCTACTCCCGTATCTAATATACAATTTTAACAATTATTCATATATGTAAATGTATGTAGTGTAATGTAGAACATCAAGGAAGTAGCTCAGTTCCTTTTGCCCTAGTTACATATTGTTCTGGATCATTCACCTTTCCTAGGAAAAATTTTCTATAAAGTTGTACATACTATGTGAAAATAGACAGTGATCTCTTCCATTAGCAGGTGTGATAGCTCAAGGATATATTTTTTCTTAGCTTTTGATGAAAATGTCCAACATTCATGTGGGTAGTGCATGCAGACAGAAAAATAGCAGCAAAGTTTCATGTACATGGTGCTATATTTTCTCAGTCTCAAACAGATTCTAACATTCTCAAATCAAGACACCATCTTTTTTGAATACACTATTTTAATTGTTTTTGTGATTTGAATAAAGATTGTTTTATTTCTTTAAACTTGGTTAAAGTCAAATAATTCAGATTAACTTCATGATACATTTTCTGTCAGACCTACTGTTAATCTGGAAAACCTATCTGATTGCTCTTAGGTGAATTCAGTTACCTTGAGAATACCACAGAGTAGGTAGAAAGGAGAAAAGTTTGATATCATGACCATAGGATTTGTTTTTGTGAGGCTGATATTGAATAGGTGTTGTTTATAAGAGTTGTTGAAAATATGGGTAGTATGGCGGGTCTGATA